AAAATGAGGAATATATATAAAATAAAATAATCCTCATAATAATTCACCTGACTGAATTCATTCAAATTTCCAAGATGACTATATCAAACACATCTGAATAAGGATTGGCTGGCAGAGTCTCACTCTGACTATTGGTACAGTACACATTATTACAAACTAGAGATCATTACTAGAAAGTCATTTTCTGTTCTCAGCTTTCATGCTATAACAACAACAAAAAAGACATTGTGAGTAATTTCTGATCTCTTGGGGGGGAAATATCATTCTGGTCTATATTAGCTTATGTATGTTCATCTGCAAAATGTCTCTCCACTATCACATTACTTTCTAATGAGACAGGAAGTGCACTGAGAACATGCATTTAATGCATTTTACAGTATGCATTTATTTCAGTTTAATCATGTGATTACTCCAAAAAAGAATGAAGGGAAAACATATCCTTTTGGGTGAGCTTAAAAGGGAGTGATCTATATTTCAGCACACTTCCTTGGTAAAGGTTTGAACACATTGGAGGATTAGAGAGGAAGTGATAAGGTGTCTCTGACCTGTCTCAAACTACTGCCCCGTACCTCCCCTCTATATTTAGTTATTCTCCTGCAACAGGTGGCAGCAGTCAAACACAATCCTCCATACTGTACATTACAGGACGAAGGCAGGCAGATAAAAGCATTGTGCTGACAATAATCCAGCATGCTCTACCAGATCCTGCTGCCAACGGCAATATAAGTGGGTCAACATGTCTGCCAACAAATTCATCAGCTGCACGAATGCCTGAATGACAACAGAAAACTATTACAATACAATAATTTGAAGTTTCTTCACAGATTATCTAACTGGAGTAAATCAATAAAGTATGCATGCTTTTCTGCCTCAGACTGTCCTAAGAGCATGTGATCACTCACAAACGCACTGAAAAACTCTTGTCTCGGGTCAAATCCTGCAGCCTTTCATGTGGATATGGAGAAGGATCAGAGATAGCCTATTCTGCTCCTTTAGGTTCATTTAGTTAGCTTCAAATGACTTAAGTGGAGGTGTCACTACACTGAAAAAATAATGGTGTAGGATTTCCTTTGAAACAAGTTTCATTTAGAAATTGCTAATAAATTTCACAAATATTACAAGTAAAACATTAAATTAAACATGACATTTTTAAGTAGAAGAACTAAAATATTTTCTTGTAAAACATTTTTTTAAATATTGGACTGTGCTGCATATACAATCAAAAAATCAATATTCAATAGAAATTAAGAAAATACAGTGGCATCAAAATCTTTTTTTTTTTTTTTTTTTTTAAAGTGTAACAAGGACACCTTAAAATAAAGTGTTACCAACGCTTTTTTTAAATCTTAAATTCAAATGAATAGCTATTAAAATAAATTTATAGCTATTCAAAACTGAAAATTAAATATCATTAATTACTAAATAGCATTCATTCTTTTTATGTATTCTGACAGCTTGGAAAGAGAATAAAAAATATTATGAATTTAATCAAACAAATGACCTTTTGAAAAAGAAATCAAAGGGGATTCATTAGCTTTAGCAAAGTTTGGCTGGCAGATGTTGCTGCTGCTGTTTTTAATGAGAGATCACTAATTAGGGTTGCTAGCAATTCAAGTGTGGGGAAGGTGCTTTGCACAGAGAGAGAACAGCCAATGGCTAACACACTCGCTGTTATTTACTTCCTCTGTGCAATGACACATAGCACAAATTCTTAATTAGAATCACAGGAAGGGGATAGGGTAATGGCATCCTTACTCGTTTTGACTGCAGTTATAACACAAACACACAAAACAGGAAATGGTGAGAATCACAAATCAAGCACCGCCCCATTTGCGACCCGACCGATCGGCGAGATGGGACTGAGGGGAAGGTGACAGACATGTGCATGCAGTATGGGGGGTGAAACCTGTCTATCACTCACTGACTGACAGGGGCTGGGATGGGCGGCACAGGGTGTATGAAGGGAGTAAAGTCTGATTATCTGCAGGACGGGAGTGTGAGGAAGATGCATTTCGGAGTTAAAACTTGCACACATACACACAAACAAACACAGACGGAGACAACACATCATCCCATAAGTTGGCTAATGCTAGGTGGTGTGATATCGGAGCTGTGAAAGGACAGATGAATTCAGCCCGCCGGACCCCCTGTGGCAACGACAGAAAAACTAAAGCAACTAACCTCAGTAAAAAGCTGCTACGCAGAAAGCCCTCCATGTTCAGCATTTGGGTTCTGTAGCAGGAGAAATACACAGAGAGCCATTGTAACTGAGCGAGCACAAGTTAGCATGGCAACTTTAAAACAGTAACAGAGGGGAGAAAACAGACAAAACCACCAACACATCCTCGACTGTCCCTGAAACATTTTTATCTTCCAAACCAAACGCAAGAACAAAGATGTAACACTCCCCACAGCTCCACTAATAGCTTTTCATCCATCTTTTCGGAGAAACAGACATTTGTCATTAGTGTACATGGTTTTCCAATCCCGTTTTTGATGATATGTTATCGTATGACAGTGGTTCCTGGGCACTGCTCCTCCCAAAGCACCGTGTGGTGGTCCAGCTGTGGACCATGTGTGGCGGGGCCGCGGCGGCTTCTAGGAGCTGGACCACAGGGGCCCACAAGGGGCCAACTCTGAGCCAATGCTGGGCCGCGCATCCACGGGGAGGCGGGAGGATGTGGTCATGATATCACCACGTGCAGAGGCTGCTCTAAAAGTCTAATGCCGCAAATTTGGGAGCACATGTTTGGAAATTGTCTCCAAAGGGTTTCCATTAGTCTCAGTTTTTGGTCTTTACAAGACATACATACATATATGACTTATAAAGATCAAGTGTCTGTTTGTATAGTAAAATAAACTGTCGGACAAAAGACAATTTAAAGAATGTAATGAAAAACAGAACACTTCAATAATAAAAATATTGTTTTTTATCTTTATATAAAAAAATGTAACTGTAAAATTAAATGTCATGTACTACATAGACATACATATATAGGTATCTGTCATATTTATTTAACTACTGCTTTATATATTTATTTTTTAGAACATTTTATTAGTTTAAGCTAAATAAATATAGAGATGCAGACTATATATAATTCTAAATTAATTCTAAAGCTAAATTAATTACACACACAAAAATTTAATATTAATTTAATTAATTAATTCAATATTAATATATATTTATTATATATTCTAAAGCCTTTTTCTAAAGACAATGTGAAGAACATGATGTGGTCTAAGACAGAAAAGCAAATACTAAAAATAAAATTATTAATATTCAAAATAAATACATATATAGCTTTAATTAAATAAATATTCAATTTATTTAATATATGTGACCCTGGACCACAAAACCAGTCTTACGTCACTAGGGTATATTTGTAGCAATAACCAAAAATACATTGTATGGGTCAAAATTATTGATTTTTCTTTTATGCCAAAAATCATTAGGATATTAAGTAAAGATCATGTTCCATGAAGATATTTAGTAAATTTCCTACCGTAAATATATAAAAACTTAATTTTTGATTAGTAATATGCATTGCTAAGAACTTCATTTGGACAACTTTAAAGGCGATTTTCTCAATATTTCGAAATCGAATCGAAAATTTTACCCTTATGACTAGGGTTGGGTACCGAAACCCGGTACCAATATGGCACCGGTACCTATGTAACCGGTATGTACTAGAACCGAATCCGAACGCAGATTTCTGTGCCTCATTTCGGTGCCATGCCTGAGCGATCGATTTAAATATTTGTCCTCAGGTTCTCCGAAACGGACGTAAGAAGCATCATCACTGGCACCGCACGTGAAAAATAATTTCCCGACTGAGAAAATGCACATGAACTCAAGTCGGAAAGCTCTAATAATACAAATCCAACACATCTTTGTAGTAACGAGCGTGTCCGTGTTGTTTTCGCATTCCGACTTAAAAGCACAACTCGGGAAATGAGAGCATCCGAGGAGCGCGTGAATGCAGTAATTACACTTGCTCTGATGGCAGCAGGTAGCCTTCCGTTAACTAAGCTAAACATGCTTAAATTAAAATGCCTAAAGCTAAACCTCCCTTGTATTCACATTTCTAAACCTGTTGTCCAACAAAAGAGAACATTATAACCGTTTTACTCCAAAATACCAGTCAAATGCT